GCTGGAAAGGCCGAGGAGAGGAAGAACGAGAAGGTAAGGCCCGCCATCGCCCGCGCTCAAGGAGGGAGCCGGCGCCCGCCATCGCCCGCGCTCCCGCCGCTTCTCCCTCACGTGGGGCTCTCAAGGAGGGAGCCCGCGGCCGCTGGAAGCTGGCTTTCTTCACCTGCTGGCTCGGGCAGCCTCGTCTCGCGTTATTTTCACGCTTCATCCTTTTCCCCCACACATGCACTCCGCGCCATCCCCAACGCGGCTCTCGCGTTACCCGCTCGCCGGTGGGTAACGAAGCTGAGCCGCTAATGGGCTGAGTTTATACGTTTCTTCCAACGATCGGGGCCTGGATCTGCAAATTTGCAGCGGTGGGGAAAGACGTTATGGAGGGGTCTTGGCCGCCGAAACCGGGTGGCCGAGGCAGAAGCCATCTGCCTCGCTACGTGGGAGAAGCTGGTGGTGGTACCAGACCTGGGGCAGCCACAGACCCAGTAAAACGCTGGCTCGTGAGCAGCGGGAGCTGTTTTACTGCTCCAGAAACATCTCGACTCTGTTTCTTGCACAAACTTTCATTGCAGTGGCACAGCCAAATGCGGAGGAGGGAATTCAGTGCGGCTTGATGGGACATAGGTACGATGCACTGTAGGTTCAACTTCTTCGGAGCCAGGAAAGCCACCATGGAGAGCTGCTTTAAGCACTCCGCCTTTTCGGTTCTTGGCAAATATTTTGCTTTTACCAAATGTTTACATTGCGTTAGCAGTTGCCATTTATCAAAGCTGAGGGTTATCTCCGTACTGCCTAGCAGAACCCACTGATACAAACTGCCTGCTGGAAGCAAGATCCTGGTTTGTATCTGAGTAGAATGAAGACGTGTGGGGGCCTGCTTTTCCTTTGGTTCTGCAAAAAATCCTCTCCGTACGTTCCCCGAGCTTTTCCATGGTGACAGGCACATACAGGGTAAACATTTACTTTGTATATGGTAATGCTGAGGTTGCAGGTCTCACGTGTGGTCAGGGTCACAGATAATCCCTGGTTTCACAAGATGAGGAACACAAGTTTTAAAATCCTTTCCTTAATCCTGTCTTGAATTTTCTGTGAGTCCCTTTTGGTGAAAGAAGAAGGGTGTAGAACTTCTGCCCTGGATGTGAAATTTAGGTACTTGTTTACAAAGAATGACTTCCAAGTGTTCATCAAGGACTGCATGCTGTGTGAGCAGAAAAATACCTGCCACTTCTGCAAGTCCAAGGAAGTGTACGGTATTTGGCAGAAGGTGGTAGATCTGCACATTACCTCAGAGCTTTGTGTACTGGCTTATTTAATACTTCCTAAAACATATCATGCTATTCTATAGGTCCATATATTTTAATTCATGTGGGACTGCACACTGAAATTTCTTAGTCAAAATTATATCGAGTCCCTTCCTAAGATACTGGTTAACCTTTCCCAAGCTGTTACAGCTTTAAGTTACTGAATTTGGATGCAGAGAAATAAAGTTACGGGGTTTTTGAGCTCCACGGATGAAGGGGAGAAGCAAATAATATACTACATCATTGCTATGAGCATTGCCAAAGGCCAGTTCAGTACCTGGGAAGTATCAGAGAGAAATGAGAATAAAAATTTTCATCTCTGACTGGATTTGGTGGTGCATTACTGCCCTGTGTTGAACAATATATTCCTGAATCTCCTCCATGTCATATTTCACTTTCATTTGAGAAAGATCTGAGTTAACGATGCTGCCTTTCCTTCTAGAAGTAGTGACTGATGTTTGGCCAGTTAAGTTGTGTTCCTATTTTTTCCATAAACCCAAATATTTCTTTGAAGCAGTTGAGAGCTTGGATAATGCCAGACTAAAGCCGTATAACTATTCAAAAAGGAATCTGTGAGTCAGAACTGGAGCCATATCTGGAACCATGCTTGGTATTTCCAAAGTGGAGGCTGGTTGGGCAGGTTTTTTGGTAAATAGGGAACAGTCATAACACTCAGAAGGAATATCTGTGGAGAGAGGCAATATCTGTTATCAGTACACCTGATAGGAAAAAACAGACAAGTCCAAGGAGCAAAAAACAGAAGCAGGGACATAACTAGCAAACTGCCAGATAAGCAAAGATCGGAAGCAATTTATCTGAGTTAGTTTCATTATATTAATCAGTCAGGTACTTTGAGATGAAAGGAACAGAGGGGTTGTTAGTAAGAGGAGCGATAATAAGGTCTTCAGCTCTACCGAACACAAGACAGAAGAAATGCACAGGTAATTATCTCCTGAGAAATTGAGATTAGCAAATTGTATCTGAGGTAAATTGTAATGTGCCATAAGATTAGCATTGTTGTTGGAATCAACAATTTTTGGTGTCCCATCAAAATATTAATTTTAATCCCAGCTTAGTCTTTCCACTTTCTTTTGTAGGATTCCCTTGAGGATGAGGGCTGAATGATCAGAAGGAGAATGGCTGTTTTGGGAAACATTCTCTTGTTATGAACCACATTTTTCTTTCACACACTGAATGTCAGTGTGAGTTCACTACAGTACAGAGGGCACATGGTACATAGGAAGAAGTAGTTTCATTTGGGGATGGACATGCTGAGGATCCGTTGGTTTTCACAGTTCTGTTGTAGAAGATGTTTCTTTTGAGGGCTATGGAGATAAACTGCAATTCTTGCATTTATCAGTGATATAGTCAGATATATTGGTCCTCGGGAAATTTTCTTCAGGTGATGAGTTTAGCAAGGTTGGTTGGCTGCTTGAAGGCTGGGCTGGGAGATAGTGAGGAAAAGTATTTTAAGATATAATCTTCTACCAATTTATGTTTTATGATTTCCCACCTAGATGCCACTCAAGGGTACCAAATGTGACATCAAGGGGCAACTGCTGTAGTGAGTCTGTATATGCTATTTGTGTTGCTTGTTCCAAGACAGAATTGTCTTTACCTTGGGAGCAGCCTTGCTGAGTGTACTGGTGAGGTTGTCACTGTTAATGCTTTCCTCTGTGCAAATGTTTATATGCCAGTATCACAGGTTCCTGTTGGTGTGCAGCAGTCAGACACAGGCATATCCCAAGATTTCTCTAAAATCAAGGGACTCCAATTCCAATTTTTACCCGTTTCCTTGTGGTTCAAAGGCAAGTGGCAGAAATAATCCTAAGGATTACGGTTTTCAGCTCAGCAGGAATGGTTTTCTTGCTCGTCTTCTATTTATACAGCAAATAAATCCTTAGGTCTATTTTTTGACATCTCTAGTTCTCTACTTCAGCATATTTCTTGAAGGTCTTGATCCAGACTTCCAAACCTGCAGGTGAACCTTGGCACCTACATTCATTTAGGCACTCTAATAATAGTGTCTTACTGTCATACTCCTGCTGACTTAATCAGGAGGTAGAATATGGCCTGCACACCAGTCTTCACTTGTCGGTATACACCTACCCCCAGAGGATCCTGTCTGCAACTGGCCTTGTGCTCTGCTTCTCAACTCCTTGACCAGCCTCCTGTCCGTTTAGGGAACAGTTTCAAAGCTGCTCTCCTTTGCCAGCTGCTGGTGGTAGTTGATGAAAGACTGAGCAATAGACAGTGCTTTAAGTCCACTGTGCAACAGTGCTTGAAAAGTGCTCAGGTAGCCAAGCAGGCTTAGAAGTAGAGCACTTGAAAATCAAAGCTGTTTCAGTGCTGTACGCACGCAGTACAAAGCAGCGGGAAAGGCGGCTCACGCGGAGGTAGCACAGACATTACAGCAATAACAAGCTGGGGACTGAATAAAGACAAGGGAGCGTGGCAGAAGTCAAAGAGGTTAACGGTGGGCAGGGCAGCACGGGGGAGCGAAGAGCATTAGCAGCTGCCGGGAGATATAGCAGGGGGCACTGGAGAAGGGGGTGCCAGTGGGGAGGATGGAGGTGAAGGGTGCTATGTAAAGGCCATGGGGAGGGGTCCTGAAAGAGGAAAGTTGGAATATAGGGGCTGAAATCTATCTGAAGAAGGCAGTTGAAAAGAGGAAGGTGTAAAGGAGACTCTTCTTTTTCTCAAATATTTCCCGCCTGAGGCCAATTTTTCTTCTTTTCCAAGAAGGAGGTTTCCTTCCCCAGAAGGAAAATAATAATTCTCCCCCGAAGTCACTCGATTCCAAGTTAGGAACAGGAGTGTCCCAAAGACATCGCAGGGACAGGAGGGAGGTAAAAGAGAGAGTAAACGGGCAACAGTCATTTCCTTTAAGGGTAGGGGGTGGTATTAGGGGCTCTTTGAGCTGTCACTTCGTCATTTGCTAATATCTGCATGTGTAACCATCTGAAACTCAGAGAATTCAATGCCAGTTCCCGAAGCTTCTGAACATCTGAAAGAAAGGGATGGCTATCCCAGCTGTGGAATGGAAGCAAACCCCTATGTTTTGGGGGCTTTTTTAAATGAGGACCCTGGTTTTGCAGTCATGATGAGCACTGCCCAAGTTCAACTGGTAGATTACAGCTGAGAGCTTGTAATTATGGCATGACTACTGCTTTGACCTCGGTCAATTTTTGCTATAATAGTTTCTGCTGAACATAATCTGGGCTGGTGCTTAATACCTCTGATAAAACCACTTGTTTGAATGAATTAATGCATTTCTCATTAAATGTGCTCCTCATTACGTTAATCAAATCAAGCAAATCATGATGGGTGGTTTGACCACTGTAATTAAACTTTCTTTAAAATCCACTCATTTGGCTTTTGATGAGGATTTTGATTAAACTCATCCAAAATGTCTGGCCCAATATCTGCTAAAGAGGAAAATAAGAGCTTGCACTAGCAAGCAAGCCATTAATTCATCACTGAGTTATACCAATTCCTTACTGTTTTACCTAGCCAGAGTATATAGAAATATTTGAAAACTGGCAATGTAAAATCAAACATTTCTTACAAGTGTGCTGAGAGAACAAATCTGTTTGCAGCTTTAAATTTAGTAACTGTGTCCCTGGAATATATAGAGGATCTGGATAAGCAAATCA